GTAGCACTCTGTGGACAAGAGTGGATGTTGATGTTTACACATAGCTCATTTGGGGATCTGGGGAGTCTGAGCAAACCATGTATCTTCAACCTACCCTTCTGAACCGCTTTATATGTCCACGTAAGTATAATAGCAATGGAAATTCATCCCAACGACTTTAAGTCAGAAGTCTGTCATTTAAATAAAGCACATTATGGTTAAAAATTGCTACTGTTTACAAATATAATTAAATAATTGAGGTCATTTTTAAAAAATTAAATCTGTCATTTCTAAACTGTTAGTTTTGACACATAAATTTGCAGGCATAATTTTTTTGTTTTTGTGTCTAAGCACTTAGACTTATCAAAAGAACACTGACATATTTCATATACTTTTTGTCCATTTCTAGCTGCTTAATGCATGCATTCATAGGAGGAAAAGAGACAGATGAGGAGCTGAAACGAGGGAACAGAGAGAAACAGAGAGAAACCAGTTCAGTGGGAGGGAACAGAGGGATTGTGGGATTGCTGGTCGGGTGAAGCAGTGATGCAGCTCAGAGAGAAAGGATCCTCTAATCGAAGGATTTAAAGAGGCATAGATGTCAGGAACACCAAGGCTCAGCCCCCCCTCCAAAAAAAGGAGCTTATCTGCAGTTTTTGAAACAGAATGAAATTGTGTCTACTTTTGATTCGTTTTCTTTCACATCTCTATCTCTGATATGTATTCACCTTGTGCAGGTCATTTTTCAATCAGCCAGCTGCACCAAATTGGTATGTTGATGAAACTCCTGCCAGGGGAAACATGAGAGTTGGAATTACAGTTAGGCAATTAAATTTTAGACTTAAAGAAACAACCTTTGGTAATAACAATTTGAACAAAGGAACTAATTAGTTCATAATTAACAGAAAATTAAGAGCAAACATTATGTGTGGAAACACATACGAAATGTTGATATTACTACCTTCCAAAAATAGTAAGTTTAGCCTTTTATTTATGTTACTTAACCCAGACCAGAAACACATTGATTCTTTTCTACAACAAGCTGTCAAGGC